AAGACATCCGCGTAATTAGCTGTGAGATCATCATTTGCATTCTCCACAACATTAATGAAGTTTTCCTTGTGTACAGTTAACAGCTTCATTTTCTGCATTAAATTTAAGCCAAGCAGAGGGTTCAAATCCTCTTTCACGACTAGAAACCGGACCTCATGTACTTCTCATTAGTTTTCGGAGGAGGAAAAATTTTGAGTCAAATATACGGGTCTTCCTTCCCTACTAGGGGTCATGTTTGTTTCCTTCTCTGTTCAATGATGGCCATTTTAGCTCCTTTAGTAAACTTGTGATGGTGCCCGGTGTGCATTGATTGCACTTCTTAACAAAACGAGCCGCTCTGTGCCGGACTTTCTCAATTGATTGAATACCTTAATGGTATTTTGAAATTGTTTTAGTGAACCATCTTTCATTGTGCTAAATTTATGCATAAAACGGCCTGATGGACAAGTGGTAATGATATAAGTTGTGAAACCGTTTTTTTAATTAAATCAAATAGTATCTGTTATAAAAAGGACTAGCAAGAAAAGTGGAAACATGAACACACATTTTGTCTGCTGCAAAATGAAATGTTTTTGTAATAACACAGCGAACCACACGTTCAAGCAGTTACTGAACAGACATTTTTAAGCTCAATCAAGTGCCCTGAAGGTACAAACGGAACTGAATATATAATGAGTCTAGCAGCATGGCAAATGAAGTTCAGCACAGGGCGTGAAAATTACAACATTATCACACCCTCCCTTGTATAGAGAAATGAGAAAACAACTTAACGGGAAAAAAAACCTGAAACCAAAACAAACGACTAAGCACATTTTAGTGAAATTCAGTTCTTTGGAAAGAGTTCTTAGGCTTAAGTAAGCACATAGTCCTGTAGACGCTTGGGCGGCTGACGGACGCGCGTGGACCTTCTCAGTGCCTGTAAAGGATTGGACGACTTAGGTGCCTCCGGCACCAAAGACAATGGATCGCGCGGCTGGTCGAATGTTTCCACGACAGTATCTGGAGGTGCCTGTCAGCGTGTATCTTCGCATGTCTCTGTGGATGACTGCTTGCGTGCCTCTATGACGACGTCATCTTCAACTTTGATAGGCGCTTCATTGGACTTGCGTAGTTCAACACGATTTCTTCAAAGGAGTCCTTGAGGCAGCTCAATCTCTTAAGATCTTTTGTCAATGCAACTCTTTACGACACCCTTTTGCCACTCTTTTCTTCGCGCGCTAGGTCTCAACTCGCACAGTATCTCCGGGCTATGGGGCTTTTTTGCGGACAAAATTTCGAACGTGAATACATCAATGTTTTGTTAAATTCATTATTGTTATGCGTAATAATACAAATTGGAAAATAACATAAATCAATTTCGACCGGGTTCATCAAGTTCGAATGCTATGCATCGATGTTGTTTAGCATAAATCGCTTTTCCGAATCATTCGAGCGTGACCGTATACAACTAAAAGATGTTCAATAAAACTAAAAGATGAGGAAGCTGAAATAGAAATGACCGGACGTCCGTTAGACGAAGCTCATACGTGCGTGACATTACGTAACTAAAAGATGTTCCAATAAAACTAAAAGATGAGGAAGCGGAAATAGAAATGACCGGAAGTCACATAAAAGAAGAGGCCCCGGGAACTAACACTTCCAATATGGCGGAAATAAAGACAGATGATTAGGTGAACCACACACGTTTGAAAAGCATTATGCAGGGTGCACGTATTTGGTTGCCCAACATCGAAGGATTTTTTACGTCTTTGGGTAGGCTACTGGAAAGTGCAGAAGGGCAAAGGAACACTGCGTCGTACGACTCTGCTGAATTTTTTAGTCGCCGTTTGCGAGAAAACGAAAGAACTCTTGTCACTTTAGCTCTAAGAATACTGTACTGGGCTGTAGTTCTGTCTCGGATTGTAGGCCGTCGAGGCTACAACCCTCGTTGAAGTAGCACTGCGATTAGGAATTCCCCGGTGATGCCTCGGTATCTGAAACCTTGCATTAATTTCTTCCTCAGCGGAGGAAAATTCCGCACTGCTACTGTTCTCCGCCCTATTTGGGTTTCCCGATTGCGTCTGTAAATTAGTTACGGCATGCAAGACGGTGTGAAAAAAATCTTGGACAGATCTAGATCTCGTGTTGTTTTCTGAGCTACTCTCCCGGTCCGCCACGTTGGTTAGAGAGAACAAACATTGGCAAAAGCGTGGGAAAACTAACGTCATTTGGACTGGACTTTACACTTCCTGTTTCCGGTCATTTCTATTTCCGCTTCCTCATCTTTTAGTTTTATTGAACATCTTTTAGTTGTATACGGTCACGCTCGAATGATTCGGAAAAGCGATTTATGCTAAACAACATCGATGTATAGCATTCGAACTTGATGAACCCGGTCGAAATTGATTTATGTTATTTTCCAATTTGTATTATTACGCATAACAATAAAGAATTTAACAAAACATTGATGTATTCACGTTCGAAATTTTGTCCGCAAAAAAACCCCATACCGGGCTCTAAGGGTTGGAGGTCTCGTGTGCCTCTGTTGTAGTACTTGGCCTGTTGCTGTTGGCGGCGATGAAGCTTGTTATGTGTCACGTCCTAGTCTGAAACAGATGGCTTTAATAATGCAGCAGTCATCGGGAGGAGACTTCTTGTCCTTCTGCTAAATAGTTGCTGTGCTGGGCTGATTTGCATACTCGCAGGCAGTGTGTTTCTGTAGTCCAGTAAAGCAAGAAACGCGTCTGAACCAGTCTTGCTGCACTTTAACGGAATTTTCTTCGCTTGCTTAATGGCACTCTCAGCCTTTCCATTCGACTGACTATGATGCGGACTGCTGGTTCTGTGCTCAAAATCCCACTCTTTAGAGAATTTCAGGAAATCACACGAGACGAACTGTAGCCTGTTATCAGTGACGAGTTGCTCGGGAATGCCATGTCTCGCAAAATGAACTTTAAGCTTTTTGATGACGTAGACAGAGGATGTACTTCTCAGATGGTCGAGCTCAAAGAAATCGCTAAAATAGTCCACAGTCACAAGGTAACTTTTTCCATTTAACTCAAACAGGTCTGCTGCAACGAACTGCCACGGCCGACTAGGTGCTTCGTGGCTGATGAGTGTTTCCTTCCTTTGACCCTGTTCATACTCTCTGCAGGCTTCACATGTTGACACATAGTTCTTGATATCTCCTGTCATCCCAGGCCACTAAAGACTCGCGCGCTCTGTTAAGGCAACCATTAACGCCAAGGTGCGAATTGTGAATACTTTTTAGGAGACCACTCCTAGCAGGCTTGGGTACCACTACCCTTTCTCCCTTAAAAATCAGACCATCCTGAACGGACAGCTCATCTCTCATATCAAAGTAAGGAGAGGCTAGAAGCGGCAGGGTACTCTTATTTTCAGGCCAGCCATGCTGAATCACTGCCTTTAGAACTTGAAGCGATTCATCCTGCTCTGTCTCCCGCTGAACTTGCAGTAGCCTGGCTTCAGATATTGGCAAGTAATTCATCATGTTGATTGTCTCAAACTCTGACTCAATCTGCGCATCCGCTAAAATGGAACCTCTTTACACTTGTACTCTAACTTTTCGGCATTGAGCTTGATACCTTTCTGCTGACATCTGCCCATGAATCCATCTAGATTGCTGTCATGATCAGCCTCACATGTGCCATGGATGAGAATATCATCTGCAATACACTTTACACCCGGGAGACCTTGTAACTCTTGATGGAGACGTTTCTGAAAAATTTCACTCGAAACGGTGAGAGCACACGGCAAACGGAGCCAACGATATCGCCCATATAGTGTAGCAAATGTCGTGAGCATACTAGACTTGCGATCTAACTCCAGATGCCCAAAAGCAGAGGCTAAATCAACCTTTGTAAACACACGTGTATCTGTCAAGTCGGGCAACAAATCATCAATGACGGGAATTTGATAACATTCCCTCTTCAAGATAGTATTAAGTGGTCGCGGGTCAATACAAACAAGCAGTTCGCCAGACTTCTTTATAGCTACAACAATCTGACTAACCCACTCGGTCAGTTTGTCAAGAGAGTGATTACTTTAAGACGTTCCAACCTTTGGAGCTCTTCTTTGAACTTCTCCCGAACAGACACGAACTTTTCTTGCTGGAAGGATAACAGGCAATCTGGGTCAACTTGCAGGGTAACTTTTCCTGGAAGTGTTCCGAGACCTTTGTTAAAGACATCCGCGTAATTAGCTGTGAGATCATCATTTGCATTCAACATTAATGAAGTTTTCCTTGTGTACAGTTAGCAGCTTCATTTTCTACATTGCATTTAAGCCAAGGAGAGGGGTCAAATCCTCTTTCACGACTAGAAACCGGACCTTGTACTTCTCTTTAGTTTTTGGATTCACAACAGGCAACGCACAGGAACCGACAGACGTCACTTTAGTTCCATTTCACATGACAAGCGTTTGCGAACACGAGTCGAGTTCCTCGCTCTCAGCATACTTCAGAGCTAAAATATTTGTACTTGCACCACAATCAACTTGAAATTGCACCGGTTGCTACCTAACCACCATTGTCGCATACACAGCTCTCCCTCTCAAAGCCCGTACTCTTACAACGCTGATCTCCTCTAACTCATCTTCACTCTCAATATTATGGACAGGAACTTTCTTGCACTTCTTGGCAAAATGATTCTTTTCCTTGCATCACTTGCACTTCTTTCCCCATGCGGGGCACATCTTCCTGTCAGGTTGATAGTCATAGCCACAAAATTTGCAGGAAATTTTCTTTGTCCACCGGCATGGGAGCTCGAGGCTTTTTAGAACTTGAGTTTACTTGATTAATGTTATCCACCGGCCCAGATAACGACTTCATTTGCAACTGAGCAACATCCTCGCTGTGACACACGTCAATGCATCGATTCAGAGTAAGATCTCTCATTCTCAGCAACTTCTTGGTCGTCTGCTCTCATTCCAACCACAATACGATCACGGATTAAACTATCCCGCAAACAATCGCAAAAATTACATGTTTTGGCCAGATTCCTCTACTTGGCAACAAAACTATCAACCGACTCCATTGGAAGCTTGTCTCGCATATTAAAACAGTATCGTTCGTAAATTTTGTTGATTTCGCCGATGCAATGCTTCTCCATTTTTCCCATTACAACGCGCCAATCACTCGAGTTCTCCCTCTCGGCGTAGTTGAATGTTTTGATGACTTTCAATGCATCATCTCTGATCGTATGTTTGAACATCGCCAACTGAAACTCCGGGGTTTCCCGATCCAAAGGAGAAATGGCAAAATAATTGTTATATTTCTCCTCCCAAAGATTCCAGTTTTCGGTAATTTCTCCACTATGTTTCAAGTCAAGGTACTTTGACGGAGTAATCTGATGAAAAGTCGACGATGGCAGTGCTACCGTACCAGACTGTCAATTGGAGGTATCACCACCGCGCATGCTGTATAACGTAGACGGTTAAAAAGGAAGCAGAAGCGGCCACCGCTGCCACCATGTAATAACACAGTGAACCACACGTTCAAGCGGTTACTGAACAGACATTTTTAATCTCTATCAAGTGCCCCGAAGGTACAAATGAAACTGAATATATAATGAGTCTACCAGCACGTGCAAATGAAATTCAACACAGGGCGTGAAAATTACAATATTATAACAGTTTTCAGTCTGTATCGATTCTCAAACATACACTTCCATGGGCTTACCTATTCTTGCACGTTTCTTTGTCTTTCCCCTTGTCTCCACCTCTCTTTTTTCACCCAAACCATCACTCAGTACAGCTAGTTCTGGTGGTGTTTCATCAGGGTCCAGGACCTTGTTTTTCACTATCTCTGTCTGCTGTACGGTATTTTTCTCACTATCTTGCTTATTTCCTTGTTCACTTTCAACATCAGAAGGTTTACAACCCGACATGGCCGAAATCATGAAGTTTACTTGAGTGAATTAAATCCAGTCGGTATTCATGATATCATGATCGATGCTACGATAAACCATTATGACTGGTCTCGAGGGAAACAGTTAATTTTGTTTCCTGTGAATCTCAAACATCGAGATTCGAGGGAAACAAATTGTCTTTTTATTGGGTGACCAGTTTTAATAAGTGTTTATTATAGCCCACAAAGTGTTCAACGTAGGCTATGTCCAAGAAGTTTCTTGTACAGTTAACTTCCCAGCACAAGAAGGAAGGTTACTCCTAGTTAGATTGCTTGGTAAAATTTTATAACGGATGATTGTATTTAAAGTATTTTACCAGGATTTTTATCAAATATACCTCATTGTTACAGCGACCTTTATTATGTTTTGGAACCAAACTTTCACCTGGGTCCTCTTCATGGGGGGATGGGGCATGTGGTGTATTCTTCTTTTTGTTTTCTCAGGAAACTCAACACCAAAACATTGCAAGGATTGTCATACCTTGCTATGTAATTATAAACAACTAAAAGTTGTGATTTTGAGTAGCTGGAACCTTACGAGCTAAAACAGAAGGAAACATTTGAGTCAAATATATGGGTCTTCCTTCCCCACTAGGGGTTATGTAGTATGCAACTGTAAATGGGTAAATACGATTAGCTATATAAAATCAGGCTGTACAAGTGAGACTGTTCACACTAGACCAAAGGATTCCGTTGGACTGCATTTTAGTTCACTTACTGCAGAGCGCTTTAAAAAATGGGGCAGCTAGGACTAGAATAAGAGGCTAGTAGATAAAAGTGTGGGGGAGAGCTAAGATTGGAAAGTAAAGAAACTGGTGAAAATGATATATTTTGGTTTGCCTGTGTTTTCGGAGACTGAATCCCAAAACTAAAGTTTAGAAACTTTATATACAGTCATCTTGAATCCGAATATTTATGTTTAGTTGAACTCGTTGTGTATCTGAATTCTCAACAAATGGCGAATCCGGAACCTTTTATGAATCTGGAAAACGGTCAGAGAAAGTTGGTTGGCAGGAAGTCTTAAAGGGAGGGGTATTTGTAGTACAGAAAAGACACTAAGTTTCTCAATGTAAATCAAATTTTAATGTTAAGAAGATGATGATCGATATTATAGATACTGGGAACAGTTGTTCAAGGAGCAATTACGCCAACCCAGGCTTAAATTTTAACCCGGGTTTCTTTTCCTCTAATAATTTTCTCTATTTTTTTCAGAGCATACAATCACATACAATCATCAAATTGTATTCAATAAGAATTATACTGCATGTGCTTTTAAGCTCTTGTATCCGAGTTTAAATTTCGCACTAACCCTGGGTTATCTTAACCTTGCTTTGAACAACCCAGCCCTGAAAGACAATAGAGTTCTTCCCATAAACCTTTTAATTACAATGTGCAAAATACCATGCAATGTCTGCTTTAGGCTTCAGTGCTAAGTGTATCATACACGTCTTACACGTTTATCCGGGGCTTATGAAATCCACACCATCAACCTATATATCCATCCATCTTAAATAATAAATGTAATATACCTCGTAATATTCAGGCTTTACAACTTTGTTACAAGTCGCAGTTTCTCTCTTTTTTTTTATACACGTATAACTGATGTACTTCCTTAAATTTTTTGCAACTTTCATACAAGTTGCTATATTTCTTAATTTTTTTTAATTGTAACTCTCATGTAATTTTCGAATCAAGAATGGAAATCTAATGCATTTTCGTAAACCCAGTTTTTACTAAAAGTGTTCGGAACTTTTTTACAAGTCGCCATTTCTTTGAACGGTAACAAACACGTGATTTTCGTGAATCAAGAATAAAAGTCTAATGCGTTGTCTGAAATCTTTTTATCAAAAGTGTTTGCAACTTTCAGGCAAGTTGCAATTTCCTTTTTTTTGAACTGTAACAAAAAATGCACTCACTTTGCCGGTAGACTCGCTGAACGAGCATGTCATGTCAAGGTCATGATATGATATTACCTTAAGTATTACCTTAAAGTAGTGTACTACTACTTCTCTGCAATGAGCCTTTTGGCTTCCAATATTGCCTGCGCTCCTTTAGGAAGAAATTTAAGAGTACGGGCAAGCACAGAAATGGAAGAAAAAGAAAAGTTTTGATTGTAGTCTTTAAGGCATTGTTTAAGGTAATGAAAATATACATTTGCAAATATTTGACTACCTTGCCTGACTTCTCGGTATATTCTCGAACTCCCACACTTTTCACTATCACCTTATCTGTCGGACAAAATACTGTCCTGCACTGTTCACATTGTTCTACACTCTTGGGACAAAGTATGTTGTCGTCCTTGCTCGATAACTGGTACTGTTTATATTATACCATTAACTCTTTCTGGGTCCAAGAAATCCATTGCAGGATTTCCTTTCGATGAGGATTTTGCAACCTACAACCAAAAAAGGTTTCAGTCAATTTCATCATTCCACCAAAGGACCGCTTGGTTTTCACAACAAGGGCCTATTTCATCTTACCCGCAATTCCCATAATCGTATCAAACTGTGCCTATTGTTATAGTTGCATTTTTCAAAGACAATGCTGCTTTTGTTCGTGGTCTTCTTTTGTGTGTTTAGATACTGCGTGTGTTGATATTGTGCAGTAATATTTCATGGTTGCTAAGTAAAACTAGGGACATGTGCAGTTGGTCTTTTAGCGCTTTACCATGTGCTCTTGCCAAATGGCTGACTTTGTATTTTACATTTGTTCATAGATAAATCCTGTTGCGATTTCATGACATGGTAGCAGTGGTTAAAAGAGTAAAGTGCTGAAATTAAGCCCTCCAGAGAAATTTGAGTTGTCCAAACTGCTCGACTGGCCAGATTGGAAGCAGAATTTGCTGCTATTTTGACTTGCAATGAATCTTTACAAAAAGGAAGGCACTGTGCAAGTCAGTGTTCTCATTTACACAGTGGTAAGAGAAGCAAAACACTTGTTTAAGTCTTTTGCCTTAGTTAATGAGAGGATGTAAAATTCGACGTGATTTTGGCAAAGTTTGATGAGCATTTCGTGCCGAAATGGAACATTATTAACGAGAGGGCACATTTTTACCAAAGGATCCAAAATCAAGGAGAAACAGTCGAGTCATTCGTACAAAGTTTTTATGAATTGACCGAACGCTGTCACAGTCGTGATCAGCAAATACGGGAGATCCATTCTTTGCTCTTATTGCCTATCACGCAACCCCAATCCCAGCAACTGGAAAGACACCATGAGAGCTTAACATGAGAAGACTGATACTACTTCCCTCCGAACACTGACCAAAGTTTTAGAGCCAAAACTTCCAAACCATTCTGCAGTAAAAAGAGCTGATATTAAAGCCAAAAGGGGTTACAAGGAGTCCCTTGACAAAAGGAATGGCTCGAGAAAATTACTAAAGCTATAGCCGGGAGACAGGGGCAGAACCAGACTGGATAATGAGAAGCAGGACCACGGTAGCTAAGGTCATTGGTGAAGACCAATGTCCCAGGACATACGTCATTGACACTGGTGGTCAAAGGTTGCAAAGGAATCGTAGGCATCTTAGATAGGTCCCCACACCCACTCATTATGACACATCAGGGGACGACTCTCAAATTCTGGATATCAGCAGTGAGCCTACTACCAAGGTTGTCTAGGTGGAGAATACCAACGTTCCTGAAAGCAGCAACACCAGTCCTGACACAGGCTATTAGAATCCGATCCCAGAACAGAGAACCTCAAGTGGTAGACTCATTAGGAAACCTATTCGTTATAGTCAGGGCATTTAGTAGTGTTGATTTTGTTAACTGTCAACTTTGAACCTTGGACAGTCATTATCGTTTTTACCATAGGCCAACTAATGCTTTGACCTCTTCTTGATTAGATTCCAGAACCAGTTTTTTTCTAAAAAAAGGGAGCTGTGTTGATATTACACAGTAATATTTTATGGTTGCTAAGTAACACTAGGGACATACGCAGTTGGTCTTTTATTGCTTTACCATGTGCTCTTGCCAAATGGCTAACTTTGTACTGTGAGTTTGTTTGTTCATAAATAAATCCTGTTGAGGTATCAAGACACTGCGTCCAACCTTCTTTTGGCTATGATTGCCAAATTTTCGTTGATAACATTCTAATACTAAGTAGGGGCTAGTGGGGAATTAAGTGAAACAAACGTCAGTCACAGGCGTTGGGGCGTCAACACACAATGAAGCGCTGTCTGTTACAAATAAAAAGCTATTCTCGTCAATGGTTTGAAGCTCCCATACAAATCATTCATTTACGACTGAAACTGCTTCAGTTAACTCATTCCTGGATTTTTCATACAAAAACTACCTCGCTGAACTGTATCTGTGAGGTAAATGTCTTCAGGATGTAGTTTTTTGCGTGTAAACACTTTTCCACCTTGACTTACTGCAACGTAGAATTTCGTAGCAGTAGGAAATATTAAATGTATTGTAAAGCTACAGTGGCTTCCAAAATTTTTGAATTTCGCAGTCAATGATTTTGCTACAAGCGCCATAATCGCAACTCTTGTTTTAAGAACAATAGAGGCACTTTCCCAAAAACAATGACAATGGCCATAAAAGGAACGAAAATGCACGTCATTTTCTACTCAAAAATGCAACCCATAAAATGATATGGGGGTCGTGTAGGTATCCATTTTATATCATACTGCACTAGTACGAAATAATTGGTGAAAAACAACCCACAACCCAACCAATATTACGAGAACGGGAACGGGAATAATTTGAAGGGTAGATGGCAGTCACACATGCTTGAACCATTGTTACAACCATGAAGCTCACGGGTCGTAGCTGCCTACTTCCCAAGCCTCTGTCAGAATGACGTTACCAAAAAGTAATGAAACAATAGCTTACCTTTAAAATAACTTTTGTTTGGTCTTTCTTATTTATTCCTGCACGTGTAATTCGATGTGATTCGACTCGATACAATCCAATATGCGGAAGCTGCAAGTTGATGCCCACTTTTCTGAACCCGCCTACCCACAATGCCGTG